TAGAGAGTGCAATTTTATCATATGTGAAAGTTTAGGGGTTTAATTTTTATTATTGAAAGTTTGAGGGTTTAATTTTTTCATTTATAAAAGTTCGAAGGTTTAATTTTAACAATTGAAAGTTTAAGGGTGTAATTGTAATGACCACCATACTTCAGGGGTGGTTTTTGCAATTTGCCCAAAAAAGTATGTTATAAGATCGTATCAACATGTTGATAGGATTGCTTTCAAAGTATGGTTAATATTGTCCTTAGCTTTATTTTGCTATATTTCCTACTTTTTTTGCTCTCACTTTAGTACATAAGTTTTTCTTATCATTTATTTTGAACTCTCTACCATGTAAATTCATGTTAAAATACCATTTTTGGAGATGTTATAACAAACTTGCAGTAATATTAGATGGAGAAAAGAACAAATTGTCTTTTTTTACTATAATATGTAGATGTGGGGATTATAACTTACTATCTTTTGATCGGAAATAAGTGTCTTAACCAGTGAAACTACACCTAGGTTAACGGACAAGTTGTCTTTTAAAACGAACGAGCTGTCTTTTAAAAGAAAAGAAGACAGAAAAGAAGAAAGATGTGAAAAAAGATGATAGGTCAACATAAATTACGTGCTAACACATTAAAATGACCAACTTATCCCTCAAATCTTCCAGCCATCCCTCCATATAAATTGAAAATGAAAAGAAAGATGAAGAAAGAATTTTCTTCATGAGGAAGTGCTAATAGAATATTCAAAGAAAAGAAAGGAAAAGATAGATTCGGTTGTAAAGAAAGCTTGGAATATGTTCAACTAATGCATAAACCACTGCAACTCATCAATTAAGAAGAATTTTATGTTTCCTATGACAATTCTTGATAATGGGAAGAAAATACAGAATACAATTTTCAACCTTAGATTTTTCTAGTCAAATTGTGTAGTCAAATTGTGTATGTGTATGGCTTAATCAGTTGAGTTATATCTAAGCTATTAAATTTTCATCATATGTCAACATTTTCATTGACATTGACATGAGAGGTGAATCGATATTTCCATACTATTGCAGAAAAGAAAAAAAATCGACAAAATATAAAAGTTATCAACAAAATATCACTAATATTAACATAATCTTAATATACCATTCTTAACATATTTTTATAAAAAAAAATTAACTTATTTAAAACTGGTAAAAGGCTAATTTGTTAATTTAAATATTAGTTTTGATTTTTTTAATAATTTTCTCAGAAATATCCGTCAAGATCAAACATTTTCACCATCATTTCTATAAAATTGAGATCTTCACATTTCCATCAATGTCAACCTTTAAAATCTTGATTATACTCATGGTATTAAATATTCATCGACATATCAAAGCGAGCATAGCTCGATGGTAATTGACATATATCTCAAATTAAGAGGTTGTGAGTTTGAACATCCACCCCTGCATGTTGTACTAAACAAATATACATCGACATATCGACATTTCCATTGATATTTTCAGATATTCATGGATTCAACATCGACATAAGAGGTAAATCGACATTTCATAATACTACAAACAAAAATGACAAAATAAGAAAAATATCAACAAAATCTCACTAATATATACATAATATAATATTAATTACTTTTAATTTATTTAAAGATGATGAAATACTTATTTGTTAAATTAAATAGTTTTTAGCGGCAAAAAACATTTAGTAAAATTAGTAAAATAACAACCACATATAATTTTTTCAAATATAACACTTAACAAATAAAAGTTCAATTTTAAAATGACAACTTTGTCCAAATATATACATGTAATATATCTTACCACTGATACATGTATCGGGTATATATTTGATATAATATGAGTATATGATATACTGAAAATTCTAAAAAACAGGTTTCATATTTTAAAATATATAAAAGATGTTAACTATCGACTACAATTTTCCTAATTTTTTCATCGACTATCAATATTTAAAACCTTATTCGTAACATCATCCTCAAGCAAATTGACCTATTAAATGGAGAAAACATGGAAAGTTAATAACTAGGTGGAATTTTAGAATTGAGAACATAATTACAAATAAAATAAGTATGCGTGATTGATTCGAAAGCCCATTTGGCTTTTATTATTCTGTGCCTGCAGCTGTGCAAATTGCGCTGTCTTTCGCAAATTTTGCCCATTTCACCTTCCTCTCATTTCCACCCAATTCTCAAAAGAGAGAGAAAGAGAGAGAGAAGCTCCCTCTCTTTCCTCTTCCAATAACTGCGACATTTTTTAATTCTTCCCAGCTTCAAACAAAGTCCAGAAGTTTCTTCTTTCAATCCCCAGATCGGGCTTCTGTTTTCCATCGGCTCGATTCTATCAGGTTCGGTCTTGTTTTGATTTTGAATACGGTCAAATTTCTTTCTTTTCGTTTCTTTCTGATTTTTAGTTGTTGGGTTGTGATTCAGATCTACTTGACCCCTTCTTACTGCTCATTTTTGCACTCCAATTTCTGGGTTGCTGCTCAAACAGTTGATTCAGCTCTCTTTTTTTCGTCCTTAGTCTTGTAAGATTCCTATGCTTACACCCTTTTTTCGTTGTTTCCAATGTCGTGTAGTTTTCTTTGTTTTCATATTGCGGATTTTGCAATGTTTGTCTTTCATTGTGACTACCTTTTCTCGTGCGGAGATTTTTTTGTTAATAATTGCTCTGACCGTGTAAAATTGCTGGTAATGATTGTAACATATGGGATGTCTTTTGTTCTTTTAGCTGTGTTTTATCGGTTTTGATGTTAATTTTTCGTTTTGTTTCATTGGTCCGAAGATCTGTTGGGATAATTGCTTCTAGCATTGTGTTGTGAATTTTTCGATGGGGGAAGTTTCATTTCAATTTCCAGTTGTGGTATAAATCTCTCGAGAGCTACCTGAAAAAGTCAACATGTGGCCACCCTCCAATTCAGATCATTTACGTCGCTGATTAGGAGATTATTAATAATGGGGCTTAAGATAAGGGCATTAGCCAAAAACAGGGTGCTTTAATTGTATGGGGAATAAGTTAGGTCTATAGCATGGTAAAAATTGAATGTAATGGAACAATATCATGACTTTCCTTGAATCATGAGGAACTTTTTGGTGGTTGAGGAAGGTGGAAGGTCTCATCTTGTTAGGTGGGATGCTGTTTCCAAATGGTGCAATGTGGGCTGGTTGCGTATAGAGAAATTGGCAAGCAAGAACTTTACCCTCCTAGCTTAGAGGCTATTCCGCTTTCGTTTAGAGCTTGATACTTCACGGTAGGATTCTTGTGAGCAAATATGATTGTCGCTTTGTTGGATAGGTAACGGTTGTTGTGAGTAAAGGGCAAATTTAGGATCCCATAAGCCATCTCCCATTGTCCTTAGTGTTTCAGTAACTTCATCTTGCTATGAAAATTTGGTTATTTCTTGAAACTTTTGGTGTTAGTTCGGATATGATGGAGAAGGTACTTGTCCATCCTCCCTTATGTAATTATGGACAATTTCTTTGGTTGGTGGCAGGTGGCTTTCTTTGTTACTATTTGGAAAATCTAACTAGAGAAAAATATGACTTAGAAGGAGGCTTTCAAAGCTCTTACTTTAATGTGCCTCCCATTCCTTGGGGTGTTGCAAAGATTTTGTTTTTGTTTGTGTTTGTGTTTTTCTTAATTATATGTTGTTTTCATTCTTAACAATTGGAGTTGTTTTCTGTAGCCGTTGTTGATTTCGTTCTTGGGCTCTTGTGTCTCTGTTTTTTGTTGTCCTCTCTTCTGAACTTCCATCTCAATGAAAGATGGTTCTTCATCCCCAAAAAAAAAAAAATTGACTTTTCCAATCATTCAAATTTATTTGGTGATTGAAGTTCAAAGTTACAGGGCCACTTAGGCCTGGACTAATGATTGGTTTATTTTCCTTCGGCTTCAGTTTAAGGTAAAATTTATAATCTTCCACATGACATTCATTGCAGCATGGAACGTGCATTCACCAGAACGTTACTACTGTCTACTGATATACAGATCATTGATCTTCTTGCTATGTCTCTTCTCAAGTTTGAACTATTACATATTATATACATAACTATATCTCCTTTTGAATGTGTGTCAATACTGTGTAGATTAACGAAAGATTCAATTTAATTGAACAGGGGAAGTAGGGGTGCTTCTGCTTGTTGCTGTAACTGAAATTACCGGCTAGGATGAAGAAGGCCTTTGATCAAACCGTTAGGGACTTGTAAGCTATATTCTTAGCTTGATTATTACTTAAAATTATAAACGAGTTGTCTTGTCTCATCAAAATTCATTTGTTCATTGATCCTGTGAATTTAACTTTATGCATTAGATGTGACTAAAAGGTTCCCTTTATCTTTCATTTCAGAAAGAGAGAGGTCAATAAGACCGTGCTCAAAATTCCTAAAATAGAGCAGAAGGTACACCCTTTCAGTTCCTCTGTTTTCTATCTAAAAGTGATCATGTTTAGGTTCGTTGTTTTTCTTCTTTTTTCTTTTTTCCTTAAAATGAGAAAACTAGTGTTTAGATTCATTGGTCACTCATGTCCACAATGATAGCCCTGAGGTCAGTTATCAACATAATTGATGCACAATTTCTTGGGGATCTAAGAAGTTGCAAAGCTACGGATGCTGCATTAAATAATTAACAAAAAGTTATTTACGATGGTATTGTGATTGAGACTTATAATATCATGAATTTCATTGTAAAAATGCTTCTCACAGTCCTATAAAAAAGAACAAAAACAACAACAAAAAAAGGACAGAAATGCGGGCTTCATAGCATGGGTTCTAGTTGCACGCTGACTTATATGAAACAGTGTTTTTACCTTTTTCTTTCTTTCCCCTTTTCAGGTTTTAGATGCTACTAGCAATGAGCCTTGGGGTCCTCATGGAACCCTTCTTGCAGATATAGCACAGGCAACTAGAAATTAGTAAGCATAGGCTTGCTTTTGTGGATGCTTTTAGATTGAATATTCTACACCAGGGGAGAACTTATTCCAAATGTCCATGCAGTCATGAATATCAATTGATCATGGGAATACTCTGGAAGCGGATTAATGATACTGGCAAGAATTGGAGGCATGTCTACAAGGTTTGCCGTTTTTCTGTTTTTCTTTCAGTAATATCTTTCTGAGTGGTGCTTAGTTGTGGATTGTTGTTATGGTATTTATTTCAGACTTTCTACCTCACTGAAAATAAAATGAACTCCTCCACTCACCAATCATCGTATTTTACCGCTTTCGGTTATTGTTAGAAATCTTAATAGCCTTGACTTCGAATATTTTAAATTATCATTTTTTCCCCAGGAGCCAATATTCGATTTGTTCAAGAAGTTGTTTAATCAATTCACTTTTCATCTTTGTCTTTCCCATTGTTCAGTCATAAAGTTCTCAATAAATATTACTGCTCGTGTACCCAAGATAAATGAGTAACAATCCCCTAATAATGAAGCCCAAGACTCGAGTTGCCCGTTTGAAAAAAATATATTATTGCCACATTCCCATTGAAAAAAGCTTCTCAAAAGAAGGGAAGATGATTTCATTGGCGGTATATTTCACTTTTAAGTTTCAAATTCCATGGCTAGAGGTTTTCATGGTCTCAATTTCATCTCAAAAGAAGGGAAGATGTTTTTCTCCTGTAATAAAACAAATAAGGCCTTGTGATTCTATCCATCTACTAGAGGTTAATGAATGGGCGGAGGCTTGAAGTGCCCATTTAGTTGGATGAAGGCTGCAGAATCACTAGAAAAACTGATTTCTTTCCTGCTTTTTAATTGTTCGTGGTTCCATTCTTTTTTTATGACAATTAACAATTGGAAGGCTCTTACTAAGTGGTTTCTTGGGAGGGTGCCCTCGTCCTTTGCCTTCTTTTAAATACATCAGTCTGTTTCTTATAAATAAAAAAAAAAAAATTGATGTTCCTGGGCAGCAGAGGAACCAGACTTTTTTCTCTAATGGTTTTTCAAGCTCCGTTGTAGTTATACGAATAAAAACATTTGGGATCGAGAAACAAGAAATTGTTAACCTATACCAAATGTGTTAACAGAACCGCCCCCTTCATTTCCATCGTATAATCTAGTAATTTTCTGCTTAATGTATGACAATGTGGAGTCCATTTATGAGGTGAAAAAAGTTGCTAGTTTTGTAAAACTTTCAAATGCTAATGATCCTGTGAACTGATGGTTGCATGAGATGATTGCATGGAGAGAATGCCCATTATTCCTTTATTCCTATCCAAACTTAAATCTTTCTCAGGGTTTGACTGTTTTGGAGTACTTGGTGGGTCATGGGTCGGAGCGTGTCATAGATGACATTAGAGAACATTCATATCAGATATCGGTAAATTTCTCTTTCTCTTCCTCATTCTCAATTCACTACCAGCTATATTCACTCCAGCTCTCTGATTTTCTTGAAATGTGATTGGTTTTTATTAATTAATCAATCATCTTTTGGATGACAGACCTTATCAGATTTTCAATACATCGACTCCAGTGGGAGGGACCAGGGTAACAATGTGAGAAAGAAATCTCAAAATCTTGTTGCCCTTGTAAATGATAAAGAAAGAATTATTGAGGTCAGACAGAAAGCTGCTACTAATCGGGACAAGTGAGTCTACTCTCAGAAGTTTGATTAATCTATAGTTTTGTTCAGGTTTCATTCTTTTGTTCATTTTTTCTTAGTTTGTCTTTATCTATTGCACCAATAATCTTATTTATTAGTGCCTGCTTATCATTTCTGATCCTCAGGTTACTTTAACTCATATACCCATACTTCCAACAAGCGAGATTAGTGTTTTTGCATCCGAGTGACCCAAATATTAAACTTCCTGCTAATTTTAACAGTAAATACCCCCCCTCCCCCCAGCAAAAGGAAAAAACAAACTTGACATTTGTTTTCTCATAGAATGTCTATACACTGCTTATTAACTGTTATTGCTAAATATTTTAACTAACTATTATGGGTATCTCATAAAAAATAATAATAATAATAACTAACTATTATGGGTGTAGGTTGCTAATACTTTCTTTCAGTTGTCTAATACGGTCACCTTCAAAAAAGTAATAAAAATAAAATACCGTTTCCACATACATATCATGTTTATTTTCTCATCTATTTCAAATAGGTCTGTATTTTCTAATACTCTTTCATTAGTTAATCTGTTTTATAATGTATTTCACAATTAAGTCGCATAAAAATGTCCTATTAGCTTTCATGGAATAGTTCTAAAAACTTTATGAATGTAATGATACCACACAGGTTTCGCAACGCGTCATCTATGGGCAGTATGTATAGACCAAGTTCAGGGGGAGGATATGAGGACCGCTATGAAGGACGATATGGAAGCCGTGATGGAGACAGAAGTGTTGACTCCTATGGAAGGGAAAGAGAATATGGTTATGATCATTCTGGCAGAAATGAGGAGTCATACGGCCGTGACATGGATCGCTATGGTCGTGATTATGAAGAACGCTATAACAGAGATGGTTATAGGGATGATGATTATCGGGGAAGAAGCCGAAGCATTGATGATCAGTATGGTTCAAGGAGCAGGAGCTCTGACAGAAATGGAGAACGTACATATGATGATGATGGTCAAATTCCTTCTCGGTAAGAATATGCTGCAGATATAATATGTTGATGCTAGATAACTATAATATTAGTGAATTCTGTTAGGTACCCGATTACAAGAACCACAAGAACACTATATTGTAATACTAAAGAGTAATTACAATACCGATAGACTTTCGAGAGGGCTATCTCTCTTCCAAGAACTTTCTCAAGTTCCTCTACCAAAATACTATTCTCCAAGATGATCTTCTCCTCTCCCTACTACCCTTATTTATAACAACTCACCCTAACTAATTATCATACTAATTACCATACTACCCATTCATACTGACAAACTAATATTCCTAATAGGACTCCCACAAATTCCAATAGTTTTTGCCATCTGCCCTCTTCTTACCAAGCCTGCTTATAAAAAAAGAGTCGAGCATATTTTTTTTTTAGCTTGACATGCAGATTTTGTTGGAAATGTACATTAAGTTCTCCTATATTGTGCTCTTTCACATTCTGAGGGATGCAAACTTTATTAAATCATTAAAGTCTTCTGCAATGAAAACTTGCAATAAACATTGCAATTTTGCAATATGCAATATGAAGCTATATTTTTTCTTTTTAGATAAGAAACATTCTTTGCATATATATGAAGCTATATATAAGTATAATTTTTCTGGAAGGCACTTATTCCTATGTTCCCTTTCTTCTTGCAGCAACAGTGGTGCTAGAGCTGAAGAGAAATCTCAGGATGGAAGGTTAGTTCTCTTCAATCATGTAATTTTATTGTTCATTTTATATTTCTCTAATGCGGAAGCAGTTTAGTGGTACTGTTTGATGAGACTTTGAGGTACGTATGTTGCATCACAAATTTTGAATCTTTCAGTAGGCCGCTTGAACGTAAATTTTCAGAACAGAATATTGGTGCTCCTCCTAGTTATGAAGAAGCTGTGAGTGAATCTGGGAACACTGTGCCTAGTCAAAGGTACTAATTTTACTCCAAAGATATGACCATCACTTTTGCTTTTGATATTTTTCACCCATCCCTTCAGTTGGGATACTGTATCTGTAAACAGGGATGTCGCAGCGCCAGCAACTACTGCTTCAAGAGCTTTTCCTCCTCCCTCATCAAGTACTCCAAGCCAGCTACCTACTCAGGGAACTACTGGATCCCCGCGTACCCAGGAATTTGATGGTTCTGATGAATTTGACCCCCGTGGTTCTATTCCAGGTATGGGAAGCACTCGATTGTAAGTTTCCTGTAAAGCATACCACCCCCCCACCCAAACCCCTCTCTCTCTTTTTCTCGACTATCTTAGACATCTTGTGGGAGTTTAAGGAGAGAGGATGAGAATCTTTTGAGATTAAAGGAAGATGTGGGAATGGCTTGGACACAAGTGAAATTTGGTGTCTATTTTACTGTATATGACGAAAGATAGAACTTTATACTGTTTTTTTAAAGTCATGCTGAGAGGCCTTATGTAACCTTCTTATCTGCCTGGGTTGGGAATGGAATGGCCATCTAGTCCTACCTCCCCTTCTCTCCGTACCATTGTTTTTTTAATTCTCGTCTCTTATCTTTAGCAAGAAAAGGTAAAAAAAGAAAATTTGTCTGTTTCACGTGAGCACTTCCTAGAGTAGGATAGTTCTTTTGGCTTCTCTTTGTCAGCAGTGATAAAATTCCAAAAAGAGATTTTCTTGTTTTTATTGGGAATTTTGAAAAGGAATATTGTAGGACTGCGCATCCTCATCTTTCATATGTTTCAAATAATTTTCCAGTTTCTTATCTTTTGATTAGAAATGCTCTCTGTAAAAAGAAAGATCAGTATATAAGGAAACGTTTGTGGGGGTCCAACTAAAAGATGTACTCCTGAGTTTTCAGACACTTTCTTTTGTAAATCTTCTTTTGCCCATTTGATTTCCCAATACATCCCTTCCTCCCCACCTTTGCCATGCCAAACTTTGGAAAGCTAAAATAAATTCTTAAGTAGATCAAGATTTTTCTATTGGTTGGTTACTTTGAAGAGGAATAACACCAGATTGTTCAGAGATCTCCATGTGTGTTTTTGGTTCCTTATTAGTGTTTTTTCTGAGAGAGGGCATCAGAAGACTTGGATAATGTATTATGGAGATACCACTTTGCTGCAAAGTGAGGCTACTAGGCTATGGGTTGCCATCCTGTCTGAGCATATTTATTACCTCCTTTTCTCAATCCTTTCAATTAACTCTCTTTTTTTAAGAAAAAGATCAAAGGCATTTCTTTGCATTGACAGTAACATCTCAATCGCTGATATGCTAAGAAAAGATCAAAAGATGGCTTAATTCTAGTAACACATCAGATACGATTGAATTAAAGTACATGGCATTGTCTCCATCATATTGCATTTTCCTCTGGTCTTTATTTGTGCTTTGTACTCAAGATCTTTTTCTTGTTTTCTTTTACTATTTCTTATCTCAGCTGCTCCAACCACCTCAAACAGTTCGAAGACAGATTTGCTCGACGCCTTAGCCATAGTGCCTGTTGAACCAGTAACATCAACGGTGGATCCTGAGCTTCATACTCAGACTAGCTCTGGTTTGGGTCCCCATACTCAAAATCAGGTAATGTTGAGGCGTTGAAATGATCTTGAACTCATTTCTGTTTTGCTTATGCATGCTTGTGTATCATTGCATGAAGCAATTTTTTTGGTCTTGTGCATCCATGACTTTTCTCATCACTTTTATTGCTGGCATTAGAGAGAGTTTGGTAGATGTAGCGGGAGGGTATAAATTTTTATGGTGTGATAAACAAATAAATTTTACGTTTCTCGTAAATCCGGGTAGATCACTACCATGTATAATTGGATCTCAGATCACCATTATTACTATTGGCATAGATTGATATTTTTTTGCAACTTTTTATGCTCAAGCAGACTTTTGAAGACCCATTTGGTGACTCACCTTTTAAAGCCATTTCTTCCTCTGATGTCCAAAGTCAAGCACATTTTCACCGTGGGCAGTCATTTTCTGCACCAACTTATTCCGCAACAGATGTACCTGTTCAATCACAAGCAAACTTGCACCATCCTCGCGAAGAGTCTCTACAAGATCAAAACATCGGTGTACTGGCCAATCTCCTTCCTCCTGAATCTTTACCTGCTGCTGTTTCACAGCCCAGACTTGCAATATCTAACAGCCCACCAGTACAGCCACATTTTCCAGTTGTAACTGGGGAGCATTTTCCGCAAGACATTGGAAATGTAGCTCCTGTGAATTTTCAAAATCAAACAGTACCAGGAAGAGAGTTCAACAATGGGATGTTCATTCCACAGCCACAGGGAGGGACCCCAGCTCATGTCAATTCATATATGGCTCCTCCAAATACTTCACTTAATAATACACGGCCCAACAATTTTGGATCTGCTCAGGATGGTTCTGTAGCTCCCACAAGTTCTCACGTCACGCTTCAAACTACAGGACCGCATACTCAGTTTGCTGGCGGGAACTTCAATCTGCCACAGGGTTCTGTAGTAGCTCCAGTAGCTTCTCAAGCATCTTACCAAGCCCAAAACTCTCCCGTTGTAAAATCTAACACCAATTTTACGGGTAGTTTTCATCCTGAAGCAGGAGCTTACACATCCATGGCTTCCCAGCAAATTCCTCCTTCGGCTGGATCACTTTCAACTGCATCTCAAGCTTCAAAGAACAAGTTTGAGACCAAATCTACAGTATGGTCTGACACATTAAGCCGAGGGCTTGTCAATCTAAACATATCTGGACGTGAGTATCTTGCTTTTATTGATTATTCTTCTGGACTTAATCATACGTCTAAAAAAAAGAACATATTGGATCTTCCTCATTTCTTGAAGACTAAAAAGTTCTCCCATGTGCAGCTAAAGCCAGCCCATTGGCAGATATTGGTGTTGATTTTGAAGCCCTCAATAGGAAGGAGAAGAGGATGGAGAAGCCTAGTACAGCTCCAGTTGTATCTACCATTAACATGGGTAAAGCCATGGGATCTGGTTCTGGGATAGGCCGAGCCGGTGCTGGTGCACTAAGGCCTCCGCCAAACGTAATGTCGGGTTCAGGTATGGGCATGGGTATGGGAATTGGAATGGGTGGCATGGGGATGGGTATGGGTATGAGCCCCAATCCTGGCATGGGCATGGGTATAGGTATGAGAGGCTATGGAGGTATGAATCAACCAATGGGTGGCATGGGGATGAATATGGGTATGGGGCAACAAGGAGTCCCGATGCAGCAACCTCGAGCGAACATGCCCGGAGTATACAACCCAATGATGGGTGGTGGTGGCTATGCCCCTCAACAGCCACCGTATGGCGGGTACCGATGACATATCAGACTATCTTTTTAGAGTTGTGGCAGAGCTGCTGCTTGTTTACCAGGTTGATAAGATGAGATTAGATAGGACACAGCATTAAAAATATTCGAAGGTCTGCATCCAACCCAAGATTTTATTACTTTTCAATCTAATATATTTCCATCTGATCGTCATTGTATTCTCCCAGATCATCTCCTGTTACTCATTCTTTGTGGGTTGAGTGTTCTGCTTTGAATTTTGTGTGTATGAATGAGGTTAATCTCTGTTATCATTTCCCTTTTCACTTTCTGGTGATTGTATATTTGATTGAATACAAATTAAAGAATAAAATACGATGGTCAAAGTTTATGTCTCGTTCATATTTCATATTTTTTTAGTCTACTGATTGAAAGAGTCTAATTGTTCTGTGAATGATTTTAGAAGAAAAATTCACGCACTTTGGTAAATCCCTTTAGAAGTAATCACTTTGTTAGGGCTTGAATCTCTCCCTTGTTCTAGTAACTACTCTACATTATGCCTTTTCAAGCCTGGCCTTCACGCATGATTCAAAATTCACCAGAGGAAATTGGAAGACTCTAGTGGGGTCATCTAAGACCTGTTAAAAGTAGTCTAAAACTATGTTGTTCTCTAGGAGAAAGTCACCAATAGATACATGTAAAGGCGAAAATGTGGCTTTGTTCTACCGTTAAAGAGCCTGGCGATAAGTGGTAGTTGGTGCAGTAGCGAGTGCTGCAAGAGATGGAAGAGATAAAAAGTCGAGAGGAAGAGGAAAAAAAGTGATAGTTAATAAATTTTTCGCCCCATTTGATATCATTCTACAATAAAATTGATTAAGTCAACTAAAGGCTAATCCAATTAAATGACCATTTAGGACCATCTCCTAAAATTCAAAGACTAATGTTTTTATATCTTCAAGAAACGTTTGTTTAAGTTTCAAAGCCAAAAGTTCAATTTGTCCAAAATATTATTATACTAACAATTGATAACTTCATATTATTAAAAAAAGTACTCTTTTTAAATAAGTTCACACTCATCTTTAAGTTCACACTCCTTGGTAAGGATTTAACAGAGTTGAAATGAAATGGAAAAAGTCACAAACACTAAGGATTAAATTATACATATACACATACAGTATTTGTTCATCAAATGTGTAGAAGTGGCAAATTGGATCTACCTCAAAAAAGATATATTATCTTATCCGTTGAACCATGTTTGACTTAACATATTCAACTCGAGTTATATTAGATGGAGGAAAAGTAATTATTCACTATGGGAATGGATTGTCGCCTACATGGACCATTAAGATGGATAGGCAAGTAAGTAGCATATATTAGCTAACACCAATGCTCCATAATAATCAAACATCTCTCTAGAAGGCATTACAAAAATTTTAGTAGAGAGTAAGGAATTTCCTTTCTAAAAGACGCCTCCATTCTACATAGTTGACAGTTTACATTAGGTTCTCTCTAGTGTGTTTTTAAAGACAAAACTTTGTAGTAGGGGACTGGTTGGTGATCTTGCACTAGAATTGCCCCAACGATATCAAATTCTACCCACTAGCTTATGATTTCTCAACTATTATTTTATAACTGCTTGAAGACGGAATGAATTCATTGCAACTTTTCTTTATACTTCCTTTCTAGCTTGAATTCATAATATTAATCCCTAGTTTCATTAGACAGGAATTCCTAGAACTTTGACCCTAAAAGAGCCACCAACATCACTTTAGTTTTAAGTACTTCAATTACCGTCATATATAGTCCTACAGGATCTAACCAACTACTCATCCTACCTCAATATTTCTAACAACTCATCTTTGTCTCAGTAGTCTATCACTGGTATTTTGGTCCTAGCCTATTCCTTGCCAATTGCTAACAAAGGGAATTTTCAAGGCTCGCTACAATAAGAGTCCAAACGAATAACGACTAGAATAGGCTTGAACATAAAAAGAGATTCATAATCCAGTAATTAACAGACAAAGATGTTTGTGTTTGCTTACTAATCCGCTTATTAACAGACAAATACAGTCATGTCTGCTTACCTATTCTTTACATGTGTCCTGCGGTATCACTGTAAGCAAATGCAAATTATCAGAGCATATATTACGGTTGAGATACCTTCCTTCATCTCCAGGTTTTCATGGCAGTTGCAATGAACTGAACGAAGTTACTCCAGGAAAACGTGAATTCGGTCACCAGTTTTATCAATAAAATCAAGCAACAGCTTTCCTCCTACTTCCTCAGCTGCATCGTTCAGCAGTTCCTTGATGTTTACGCCTCCTAAAGCTGTGCTCCAACCATGACAATTTTTATTTTGTTTATAACATGTCAACTTAAGGACATGTTAAGGAATTTTAATCTTAATGACTTCAACGAAAAAAAAATAACTACCTGGAACTATGTTTGCTACTCCATCCAAAGATCCCGCCTGAAAAGGGTAAAAACAGAACTTCTCAAAAGAAAATCTGGCATTACAATACAACTTTGGCAGAGGACTGGAATTGAATAGTACAACCAATTTTAAAGATTGTGGACACGGATGCATCAACTCGGACCAAATACCAAAATATTGGGAAAACAATCTAAGGCGACATCTAAAGATCATAAATATGATATTTATGAACACTTACAGGAATCCTAACATCAAGTTTCTCAAGTCCATCTTTTCCTGTTATTTTGACCATCAATCTCCGGGACAAGATGCCAGAAGAGGGATGTTTTGATCCATCTGCGACAAAGTTACTGCATAAGTCAGGCGTACTTGCAGGGACAATTTTACCTTGATGATTTTGGTCTTTCAGCTTTGAATCATTTCAACCATAGGTTAACTGTCTATGCTACTTCCCACTGGCAAAGAACCTTAATTTTATATCAAATAATGGCAGATCTAATAAGTAGTATGAAATTTTAGGTCGGTTCCATAAATTGGTATTGGAACCAGAAAATCTTTACTGAATTACGTAACTACATAACAAAACGTAAGCAATTTTTTTCCTAACTTGCTATTCATCCTAACATTGGTCCTCCTCAGGTGGCTAACAAAGCAGGAGAAACAATCATGAGCTTGCATTAAAGCTTGAAAGGCTTACTGTAGATCAGCTATTGCAATCTGACTTTTTCATTTTCTACGAGAAACGTAATTTTACTTTAAAAAGTTGGATGAGCCTTAAACAGGAAATATGATGGCTTCATTGACAGATAGTTCATAAACATCAATTTGAAATTAGGTAAAAAGCGTTCAATGCTAATCAATTATCTGTTCAAGGTCAAGCAATTGAATCCATTGTCAAAGATAAGTATTATTTCCTTCAATTCTCATGTACAGCACAATAGTTGGGGTAAAAGGTCTACATACCACCTTGCGAAGGAAGGCTAACAGCAGAAGCATATTTCTCCTCTTCTTCATAATAACTGTTGAAACCTAGTATTTCCTTCATTTCTTCAAAAGATGGCATGCGTTCAGAAGGTATTTGACCTTCTTTAAGTGCAAGCAGTGCATCCTGCAATAAATTAACAGATTACAATTGCTTTTAGCAAGCACTCAACATATAGATGAAGTGTAAGGTGAAAAGCAACAATAAAATAAAAATAAAACAAGGAGCAATGGTTTTTAACCTTTGAGCTGAAACTACTATTATTTCAAGAACTTTGGCAATAATTTTGTAAAGAGGTGACTAGGCTAATCGGTCTAAAGTCACTAACCTTAGAAGTTCTAACTTTTTTCAGAATTAGGCAAATATAGGTTTCATTTGTTCTACTATTGACAATACCATTTTCGAAGAAGTCTTGAAACAACCCTGCTAAATCTTTTTTCAGGATGTTCCAAGCCTTTTTAAAATAATTGATTTGAAAAGTTACATGACTAATCTCCTTTGGGAGTTCTCCAAAGATTACCCCATCAAAGAAAATCCGAGAATTGATAATAATAAGGTATCCCCAACAAGAATTGATTGTGTTAATTGAATAAAATCTAAATACTTTGGGAGTACACCAGAGGCCATATAATGTTTGATAATCTCCAGTCTTTCCTCTAAACTCAGTTTTTTGTTCTCAAAATCTGATAATTCCTTTCCATCACAAACTCCATAACGGTTCTTTGATCATGTTGATCCATAATATTCCAGCACTTTTTGCAACCCATGCCCACAAAGTGGCATTGCTTTTAGTTCCCAATATTTTGCTCCCGTAGGGACGTGGAAACAGCAAGTGACTAAGGTTCTCTTCATTTTTAGACACAAGCAAGAACAACTTAGATTTCAGACTAGATAATGGCATATTCTTTGGATTATATCAGCCAAATGTAGAAGCTGTTTAGTTTCCCACAGAGCAAACAAACTTGGCAAATAATCTATGATCCCTGGGACATACTAAGCCATCCAAATACTTTGGGCAGGCCTTTTGTAAACATCTACCTTTAGTTTTTTCTTTTTCTTTTTTCCTTTCTCCTTTCCTGAAGATCTCACAAATTAGACATCACATCATCACCTTCCTCAAGACTTTATTGATCATTCTCCTTTCCTCCCCAGATCCAATGTTCTCATTTCCATGTTTCATAAAATCTTCAATATCTTTTCATGCACGGCAGCGTCCAACCCAAACTAGAAATATATTGAAATGTAAACAAATATCAAAACTACAATAACTCCCAAGTAATTCGAAGTACTTGGACCCTCCCCTCTCTTGAGTATTCTTACTCAAGCCTAAACCATACTCACTAATTGCCTACTTTCATTCTTTCCCTTTCCCCCTCCCCCTATTTATAACCAAACCCCCTAACTCAATTATTAATATACCCTTGATATCCTAATAATATCCCCAATTCTATCCTAATAGTAATCCTATCAAGAACCTTCATCTAGTAGACTAGTACCCTTTGGACATTTTGAAGCAATCCCTCCCATTTTCCTGATTGATTCTCAAATTTGTAACAATTCTGAAATCTATCACAAAAGATTGAAGTACCCCTTTTCGAAACAATCCTTCCTGTTTTCCTGATTGATTTCCAAATTTGTAACATATCTAAAATCTATTATCTACGATATCAACCTTATAAAAGTTGCTGCATAAGATTGTAATCTAAGAACCTTTTCGTCCTTCCATTATTTTAATGGTATAGCACTAAACTCAATCATTCCTCAATAAGCCAAAATTTTGAGCACAATGCAGTAATTTGTTGGGGCACAATAAATTAGATTGTTAGGCCTACATAGATGGGGGAAGCCAATGCAGGAAACAAAGGAAGTTCGATATTTCTTTAAACATTTTAAACATGAGGAACCACCATCAATTTTCTCTCTGTATACAAAAGATATTACAAATATTGAAATAAATGGATTGGGATAATCAAATTTCGTACGACCATGCTTGAGTATGATTTATTCTATGGGTTGTGTAACTTTGTCCTTGATTTCCCAACTATAATTCCGCTTGTAAGACTTCATAAATGATCAATTCTATAGTGCACATTATAGGTGTAGAAAGACATGCTACCTGCATTGCTCGAATTGAGATGCCAACCAAGGACAGAGGATAAACAACAACCTTATATCCAATTTCCGCAAGTTCAAGAGGATTGAGGATTGGTGTTTTCCCTCCTCCTTCAAGCATATTGGCCTAAAAAGATATAAGAGAAGTATCTGTCAATGAAATTTTCATTTGATTTATAACATTTAGAATTAAAAGGCAACATGAAAAGGATGCCAAGATGTGCCATAATTTAAGGAATTGAAGAAACTAATAACAGATATCTAATGATGCTTGATGCAAGATGCAAGATGCCAGCTCTATTGTGTGAAATGCGACATTGTTTATGATAAATTCGTATCATTCTGTAATTCATTGCAATGTTGACAAAGAACATAAATCGTAAAAATGGTAAGGTATTTTTTGAATTGAAAACCTTTCACTTCAAAATCTACAAATTGCAACTTATAAGTAATTTCATATCAGAAAATCCATAAATTGCAGCTTAAAAGTAATTCATGTCAAACTATTCATGTAATAACATCTCAATATGAGAATGTGGTTCAAACTACTTCACTTGCATCCGCTCCAACAAATGATGGACTCTATTATCTTTTTGGCTTTATCTTGGTGCAAAAGTGTAAATTCTTTCAACAGCTACAGTTTAAATTCTCTCATATCCAACTGGAGAAGTTTTTTGTGATAGGGTTTTTTTTTGTATATTCATGCTATCAATGAAATTTGTTTCCTATCCAAAAAAAAAAGTACTTCACTTGCATCTTATAGCAAGGAAATTCGAACATACCATTTTAGGTACTTCAGGAGAGATTTTGCAGAAAGCCTTCATCTCTTCTATTGAAGCTAGTGCATCAATAAAAAGAACGTCAGCTCCAGCATCAGCAAAGGCCTTCGTCCTCCAAAGTGCTTCATCAAGGGACACGGCCTGTCGAGCATCAGTTCGAGCCACAATAACAATGTCAGAGCCACTTTCTTTTCGAGCATCAACAGCTGCTCTTATACACGACACTGCTTCTTCTCTAGGCACCACTTTCCTGCCTCGTGTATGTCCACAAGCTTTTGGTGATACCTTGCCATGATAATCTTGTCAACCAATGAGTCCTAACTCCTAGATAACTAAGCAAATTCTTCAATGAAAAAATAAGATTTCTTTTTGAATAGAAGTGCTAGACAGTACATCCAATGACCACTTTTTTTATTAGTACACTGAAAAAGAATCAATGTAAAGTCCTAAAATTTTGAAACCGAACTATGTGGCTTTGTTTCCAAGATCTTTACTTCTTGTCCAATGCAAAGAATATTCCTAAAATAAAGATTATCCTGTCCTCAATTAAACCCAGGAAAAAGTTCCCCATTCTCGACAGGGGCAGGTTTATCTCTGTGGGGAAAATTGACATTCCTAACATGAGGTCCACCAAAGGCATTGGAATCATATTTTTAAAAAAATTAATAAACTGAATAATAAATTAATATGACATCTTTGTAATCTTTAACTCATGAAACAACTGCACAGGTCTGATATGAAGATTCACTACCAATCACCATCCACCTCACCATGAGCTGGAAATGAGTCAATGTTAATAAGTTGCTAAGAGATATTATGTTATGAACAGTATGATGCAGCACGTATACACTACAGAAATATTTATAGTTTTATACATTTATCAACCTTGTTTTTATATATTTATAATACAATTAAAGTTATGCATGGAATTATATTGATATATGATTTTAGAGTCTTTAAGTGTTCAAGAAATGTTCAGTTCAAGATATTTTACACTTCAGTTCAACCTTACACAAACGAAGTATTTGAGTGATGACCGGGGACTAGTGATCTCATTTTTCTCCCTCCTCCTCCTCTATTCTTCCCATTCTCTCTATTTCTCATCTATCCAACATCCAAAAGACTGAAACAAAGAGAAAGTGATAACTGGGACTGACCAAAAAGTTTCACCTAACAAGAAAGCAGCTCATGCAGAACTCTTTCCTTCCGTAGAAACAAAGTATCATGTTGATACATAAAAGATTAAAAATTTTAATTATTCAAAAAGGTCATCGCCATACAGTAAAAGAACCTGATCTTCGAGAAGGATCCCTGCAAAGCCTGCTCGAATAAACCCTTTAATAGTTCTCTTTACATTTAGTGCATTTCCATATCCATTATCCCCATCTCCAATGACTGGAATTGATACAGCTTCAGTAATTTGTTGCCCTTGATCCAACATTTCACCATATGACATAAAACCTGTATCTGGCAGTGCCAATCTGGAAGCTGATATTGAAAATCCTATATGAAGCCAAAGTAATGTCAGTAGTTTTAGTAACCATTTTAGAGTACTATGAAGAAAGCTAGGCCAATGCGGTTAGATAAAAGGAATTTTCTCGCACTGCTAAAATTGTAGCTAATTTATTAACCTCGAAAATTTAGACAACATTTCTCATCAGATTTCCGTTAGGTAATTATTTTCATGTTCATTATTTTGGGTGGTAAGACTTGGGACACGATGCAACGTTTAGCCAAGTAGCATATATGTTAAGCTGCACTTAGATTGGATAAGGAATTTATACATGCTCCAATTATGCAGAATGTTACGATAACTCTTCGCTGTGTAGTATAAGCTATATGAAGTAATAAATGGTTGATAATTTTGTATATCCTTTCTGAAAAGTACGACCTTTATTTATAATCTAGTAAAAAATCTGCCTATAGAAGAGAAGTAATTACAGAATTTGATAGAAACCAAATTGATACTGTTATAAAATGTAGAAAAATCACAAAGATGGAGAAGAAATTTGAGAGCTCCCTTCCTCTCCCAACTCCAACTACTTGGAATAGCCCCTCAATATTTGTCTAATCCTCTACCCCTCTAACGTCCCTCTACTTATTACCAAACGGATGCTAATTGATTAAGAGAGAAGCACAGACCGCTGGTAAAGCAGTACGAAAATCCAGCTCTCTCGATAAGCTTAGCACTGAGAGCATCGAAGCAAGCAGGACCTAGATGAACCCCAGGCGAATCCAGAATCCTCCGAAGCGCCTTCGCAGGAGCTTCTCCCATGACTCCAATATTTCCTCACTATCTTTACGCAGTCTACAACGGTTTCCGGTGGCCCAATCATCAGCGAACGAAGAAGAGAAACCGCTTACATTAGAAAATCATGGAACCCTGGCTAGAGCGCAGTGGCAATTAACAGAGCAATGCAAGAATTTAAGAATGTAGACTACTAGAGAGCGTACCGATGGTTGGAGCGGGCGGCTTCTTGAGTGAAGAATTGGAGAGAGTGGGAGTTGGAAGGAGACTGCAACTGCAAATCGGGACGGCGAAAATGGGTGCGATGAAGAGATTGAAATACGCAGTGTGAGGACAGAAGGCAACGATTCTTGGTCGCTACATACAGGAAGAACGAACCTGTTTCCGTACGTTCAACTGACTCGCGATGTTACATTATTTATAGAAAGCAACAAAAATATATCCAAAGAAAAGTCTTCGAATCTTCCCTTCTTTCTACGTAGCTCAGCTGATTAAGCTATTTAATCAGTTGTGAAAGTTTAAACCTTCGTCCCACTTTACTTAATTGCAATCATAATAAATCAACGGAATCCTAATGTTATTTTATTAATGTTATTTACTAGAAATTTTCTGGAATCGTAATCAGAATTCATATTTGATATTGTTTACTAAAACTGGAATCGAAATCGGAATCAGATATATCATAATTACTAATATACCTCTTTTCCATTTTTAACCAATTACAAATATATTATTGTACTAAACCTTTTTAAATATTTCTTATCATAACAATTTTTCTAATATTAATATATAATAAAAATTAAAATAAAATTACATCAAATAAAATATTTTTTATTAGAAGAACCAAACTTTAATAAAAACATATTGTTATATTTTATTTATTATTTATTATAATATTTAAAAGTAATAATATTTATTTAAAAATAATATTAATATTATATAATAAAATCCCATCAACTAATAAAAATTGGAGTATAAATGGAAAAGAAATTATAAAAGTATAAAAAAGACTAGTTAAAAATTATATGGATCTAATCCATAGGTGTGAGAGAAAGGGTAAAAGTGGTACATTAATTATAATATATATGTGAGGTTCATAGGAATGAGAATGAGAATGGAATTGATGAGGTTGTAGGAGTGTAATGAGATTACACATTTTCATGTAATGAGATTACAAAGTTTGAGATGGGTCCACAATTTGATTACATTCCTACAATTTGGTAAACACCATTAAAGGGAATCAAAATTTTCATTACGATCCATTGATTACGATTTGCGAGTAAGTAAAGGGTCTTATTGTACTAAAAAACTATAATCAGAAATTTAAAAAAGTGGTATGTCGGGTTAGATAGTAAAATTGGTTATGGTCTAAAACCGTGTCTATTTAATTGTTGAAAAACTTAAATTGATGTCCATGAAGAGATATTTTAGAATGTTTGATATCTTTCACAACATGAGTTTTTAAGAATTCGTTTGGTAGCGTTTTTGTTTTTTATTTATTGTTATTGTTTATTGTTTCTCATTTTTTAATTTTTTTAATAAATAAAAATATAACTATTTATTTTTTCGTTATTTCTTTTTTTCTTATGAAAAAAAAATTGAACATGTTTGCTAATAATTGCTAGTTTCTCATTTACTAATGTTTAAATATTTTTAAAAAGTAAACTTTTTTATATGAAATTTACTTCTTTTATAATTAAAAAGTTTAATTCTTTTTACGCTATATTTACTTCTTAATATTATTATGAATTTTTTAAGCCAACACTGATAAAATAATGAATTAATTTATGCTTTGTAAAATTTTGGGAAGAAAAAATAACAAAAAAAAAAAACTTTATTTTGCTATTTCCAAAATTTATACCCAACTTCATCGTTTAAGTTGTCAAATATATATTTTTAGTTCAATATATGAGAGCAGAGATTCAAATCTCCCATAAGGTATGTATCTATAGTTTCATATATTTAATATTTTTGATATTTTTAAAAGGCTAGGCATCTAGATTCTAAAAATAAAATAAAACAACGACTAAGGCTAAGCCATAAATAGTGTCTTCACCCTTTGAATTTTATTCATATCCGCCGTTAGTTTAAGGTCTTATCATTGTCATTGTATTATTTGATGACTATGCTAAAAATCCACCCACCACATTGTCTTAAGTAATTTACATACGTTGTCGGCGTGTCATTATAGGGGTTAGAAAATTTAACAATAATAACATATTCACCCGATTGAAAGTGAGTAGACTTAATATAAACTTTTTAGAGTAGGAAGACAAAATTAATATAACTTTTCGAAATGTCACTTAATAGACCTTGGCATAGATCAATTTTGTAATTTAACCAAAATGTTATTAACAAACAAATGAGATCCCTTGCTAAGATGACTAAAAACTTCATGCTCTAAGAAAATTTTCTTATGGTTAAAATTAGACTATGAAGCTAACTCCTCACCCTCCTATTTGTAAAGTGACATTCTTAAAAGGAAATGGAAGAAAAAGACTCTGAATGTGAATGCAATTTGACCTTTTATTAGTTGCAATCCCCACCCTTGGTGAAATCCCTATAGAGGGAAAAATCCTATCAAATGTTCGTGTCAAATAATATCTAATTGTTTGATCCTAAAAGACAACTTCAGAATCCTCGAAGATTGGAATAGAGGAGACGATCTCTCTTCCCTCCATCGGAGAACATGCAAAACAAGATTACCACTCTAACGAGCAAGTCAATCTCAATCTGAATCTAAGCTCTAAGCATAAATGGATTCACATAACTTGTAAAAGAGGTAGACATCCCTACCTATAGGGATGATCTCCGACAGGTCTTTCCGATAGTGGCAAACGGTCATCCGATCGCCCGCGAAACGCGGCGCGTTGTCAGAGTGATGTGTTGTTTACACCCCTGTGGATATCTTTGAGTAAGTCGGCTCGTACCTTCGCCAAATCGGGCGAATAAGGTGTTTGATAGCTCAGCTCAGAAGGTTTACACCGAGCTAGAGAAACTTGTAATAATCATAATTTGTTCAAATAGAAAACGTCTTCAAACCACGCAACAGGCGATAAATAGCCTCTAACACAAATATTTGAAAAAAAAAATTATGGCACGATTAGAATACATTACCCACCTCTCTAAAGGTCGAAGTTCAAATAATATATTAAGATTATGGTAATAAGAATGGTTTGTGTAATTGTATATTGGAGAAAATACACACTTTTGGTTTCTAAAATTTGAGTTTTGTATTCATTTTTTATTAAGTATAACAACATGTAGAGAAGGGAATTCGAACATGCGATCTTTTGGCCAGAGATTCACGTCTCAAACCAATTGAGTTAGGATGAGGTTGACGAGTTTTGTGTCAAATTAGATTTTAATATTTAAAAGAAATGTATTTTAGCGTGAGGTTTAGAAAATTATTCTATATGATTTCTAAACTTGATATAGTCGACCTAACAAAATACTGATGTGATAGTTAACATATTGGTTGGATTTTGATATGATTGGACTACGAACGTGACCATCCTCTTCCCTTCCCTCTTTTCTCCCATCTCTTCCCTCCCCTATCATTCTACTTTCTTTAAAGTATTCCATTTAAAGTTCAACGATTTTGAAGATTCATAGACCAAAATAGAATATCCTGAAATAAGACGATTTAGACCTCAATCAAAATTTAATTTTAAATATAGGAATGATCATAAGTTAAAAATCAATTACAATCTTTGTGCCACTTGGAATCAACAGCACCAGTGGTCTAGTGGTAGAATAGTACCCTGCCACGGTACAGACCCGGGTTCGATTCCCGGCTGGTGCATTTTGCAACGATGAATATATAGGCACATCTGAGCAAATGGCCGAATTCCTTTTGCAAATTTTACCACGAACAAGGTGTACATAAATATTTTTGGAGTGACGAGTCTAAATAACTAACTACCTACTAAGAAGTGACAATGTATTACTTACATTCTCCAACATTGAAGAATTGGCCTCATGATTATTGTTTGATGTTGTATATCGAAAGATTATCCACCTAATAATAATGCTCAAATTGGAACTCTCACAGCTCTGGAAACCAGATTCCAGATGAATGCAAAGATAAATGCAGCTCCTAATATCACACAGAAAACAAAACAAGGAATAACTTTGAACGAAAAAGTGGGAGAAGGTTTTGGTAAGCTAGTCAACAACTGGCACAAAGCGTACGCATTAATTCTATATTCCCTCTCCTCTATACAAGTTTGAATCTCATTATAACCAAATTATACCCTCAAATTTATACCATTATTATAACTGAATATAATTATTACAACGGTAGGGTTTAATGTAACAACAATTTTGAAGCGAAATTCGAACGTCCCGAGCAGATGGTCAGCTTGAATTGAAAGTTTGAGAATAAGATTGTAACTATAGATAGTTTTTGCAACTTTCCCTTATAAAAAAGATGTTGTAAATCATGGTCTTAAACACTTTGTTTTTTACCAATAAAGTAATGCCTGCATCAATAATCATCAACCAAATCAAAACAAGGCAAAGGAGCCACACTTAAAAATGACAATTTATAATCTCATTTCTCTGAGTAGAGAACTCATTTCTCTAAGCAGTAAGGAACACCTGTAGACGTAGGAATCCAAACATCAATTTTAAGATGTGAAATTTAGTTGCATAAATAGCTATAATCCAGCCACCCCTTGATGATGCAGTTGTATGCAGCCGTTCTTCGGCAGTCGCATCAGATCGTGCGAACTGCTTGAAATAATGTCCTGCAAGAAGCACGAGATAGAAGACGAACATGTTATACATCACACTAGGTTCCTGGACTCTTCACTTATGGCAACAGCTGTACTTTAAATTGACCAGTTGATGAAGCAATGTCGATATGCAGCTCTATGTGGAAGAAAACATCCAATCATTTTGAATACAAATGCATTTGTAGTGAGTTTCATCAAATGTTATCAGCGCAAATTCTACAATTGAGATACCTTCGCTGGCTCCTGGACTTTTATCATAGTTGCAATGAACAAAATGAAGTTAGTTACTCCAGAAAGACTTCGATCCGGTCGCCCATGCCATCAACAAAATCCAGTAACAGTTTCCCTCCTACTTCTCCAGCTGCATCGTCCATCAGTTCTTTGATATTTATACCTCCCAAAGCTATGCTTCAAAAATATGTCAATTTCATTGGTCATAAAAGATATAGTCAACCAAAGTTTAATTTTGATCGCTTCGAGGGCGAGGAAGCAAAAACTACCTGGAACTATATTTGTTAGTCCATCCAAGAATCCCGCCTGAAATAAAGAAATATACAAAACTCCTCAAGACAATGGAAAGAACACTAATAATGGAAAGTTAGATCAGAAACTGAACTAGTAATGAAGAAACAAAACTGCAACAGAACTCGGTCCTAGAATATTTTCTGACCTCCATATTACACAAATTCAGTTAGATAGCCATGTATATGCCCATATACAAGGAATCAGGAATGTTTAACTTCACCAATTTACATTCTCACTGCCAATGAAAATTGAATTCATTTAGCCAAATTGGCAGCCATCAAGAACATTCAGCAGCTTATATAAATATACCAATTCACATAATATGCTACTATGACCAGAATATCATGCTCATAGCTGCATCAGTGATCCTGGCATTTTACCGCTCGTTTAATTAGAAAAGATATGTCCGGCTGGTGTATTATTAACATTATAATTATTTGAATATGATATGTGCCTATTTTTTCTGCAAACACAATCTATAGACACTAAAGAGACAGTAATATGTTATCTTTAATACTTACAGGAATCCTAACATCAAGTCTCTCAAATCCATCTCTTCCGATTATTTTGACTCTCAATCTCCGGGACCAGATACCAGAAAAGGGACGTCTCGATCCATCTGCATCATAGCCTTTATATATCTCAGGAGTAATCACTTCGACAATTGGACCTTGAGGATTTTGGTCTTTCTCCTCTGAATCATCTTCAACTCTCCCTTGAAGACTGTTTATGCTACTGCCCACTGACAAAACAACCCTAATTTATATGAAGTAACAGTAGAACTAATGAACTACTACCAAAATTTGGGTCAGGCAAAAAAATTAGGCTACAAGGTAATTGAAAATCTTTGCCCATGTATGATCACATTATTAAAAAAAATAAGTGAAACTTAATAGTATTATCAAAAATAATAATAATAATAATAAGGCTACAAGAATGGGTGTATAAGCCCATGGAATAATATTGATAAACAGTGGAAATTAGTGGAAAAACATTTGTCATTCAGATTAGGAAATGGCAAGTGTATTCTTTTTGGCATCATTTATGGTTGGAAGACTGTATCTTAAAGGTTAGATTTTCCTCATCTCTACAGGATTTCTACCTTCCCTTCGGTTTCTATCTTTGACCTTTCAGATTCAGCTACCTCTTCTTGGAAACTTGATACTAGGCCGCTTAAGGATAAAGAATTTGAAGAGTTTTCAAGTTTATTACTCTGCCTTAATCTTGTTATTCTAAGGGGAGAAGACGATCAAAGGAGATGGCTGCTAAAATCTTCCGGTTTATTCTCGGTAAGTTCTCTATGCAAACCAAGGGCTACATCGCTTCTTCTCCCAAAAGATTATTATGCTCTCTTGTGGAAGTCTAGAAGCCCTAAGAAGGTTAATGTGTTATCCTGTATCCTTCTCAACAGCAAGGTCAATACACAGTTGAAGTTCTCCCAAAAAGAAAAAAAAAACTGCACGTATGGCCCTCCATCCCTCATTTTGCATCCTTTGTGCCAATCATGGAGAATGCCAGGGGCATATTGTTTTCCATTGCCCTTATGCACTATCTTGTTGGAGATCTCTTTCCATTTATTCAGCATGTCATGGGCATTCGATTTCAAGGTTTCAAAGACTGTCTTCCAATTGTTATTTGGTCCGGAGTTGTCACTCAATGCAGGTCTATTATGGACAAATGGAGTCAAAGCATTGTTGTATGACCTATAGTTTGAAAGAAATCAGAGGCCTTTTGAAGGAAATTGCAGAGACTCGATGGAATGCTTCAACTCAGCTAAATTCAAAACATCTCAATGGTGTGGTCTCTCCAATTTATTTATTTATTATTTTTTTTTTTATAACTGGTAATCGGAGCTTTGCTCCCCTATACCCAGGAGCACTCGCGCCCGCCCCAAGACTCGGACATGGAAGACATCAAGGATTTTTGATATTAAGCTCACCAGAAGTTTCAAACCTGAGACCTCTAAGCTAGTATGACCAAGAGACCCCAAGCCCTTGCCAATTGGACTGCCCCTTGGGGGCTCTCTCTCCAATTTATTGTCTAATTATTCATCCAGCATGATCTTTTCTAATTGGGAGGCTTTTATCTTTCCCTTCTAGTCTTTTATTTTTGCTTATGCTTTATTTGTAGCTTTGCTCTTTTCTTTCTTTGTCCTTGTCTCTTTATTTTCACTCCCTTGGGAGTTTGTATCGCCGAACAATTTTTGTTTCTTTTCATTCATCAATGAAAAGTTTGTATCTTATTAAAAACAAAAAATAATATTTTCAACAAAACTAAATATTTATCACAAAATTGTCCTACCCTACCTCTGATAAACTAAAAATCAAGTGAAGAATTATGTGAACTTGCTTTTACCATCTGCAAAACAAGCTTTTCAGGCTTAATGTAGATCTTCCGCTGCACATGCATGACTTTTTATTTTCTATAAGAAACATAACTTCACATAGGAAGCACAATTTTACTGAAGAAGTTGGACGGGCCTAAAAGAGAAACAAGGAAGCCACTCGGTTGATAAATGATTGATTATCTATTCAAATTGAGCAGATGAACCTATTGGGGAAGTCAAAAATTTTATTATTCAATTCCCTCATAAAGTGCAATAGATTCACATTCACTTGGAGAGAAAGGTAAAGACCTACAAACCTTTTAGTGAAGGCTGACTGACAGCAGAAGCATATTTCTTCTCTTCTTCATAATAACGGTTGAAACCCAATATTTCCTTCATCTCTCCAAAAGTTGGCATGCTTCCAGGAGAAGGCAATCGGCCTCCTTTAATTGCAAGCAGTGCATCCTGCAAGTAACGAAATGTGGGGAGCAACTATAACATCTTGACTTTTCCTATTAGGCTATCTAGTCGTTTTACACTTTCAAGGCTAAATGTAATTTTCCAAATAATGATATTCCGGAACTATTCCGGAAATATTCAAGATAATATCTACAAGCCAATTTTAAAATTTTGCAATTAATACTTTTTTAAATAATTAAAATAACTTAAGAGTTAATGAATAATAAGAAAAAATAACTAAATAAATAACTGAAGTGAAAAGTAAAATTAATATTTTTAAGTAATACCCTCATTTTTAATGAAATTTCAATATCATGAGGCAACTACATAATTTAACCTTTTCCAAAGTCCCTTCTTCCTAAACAAGTATCTTTTCCTAAGTCCATAAAATAGGAAAACTCATCTTCCTTCTTTTAGTAAGAAAAAAAATGTAAGAAACAAAGTAAAAAGAAACCCAATATACAATACAAAAAGGCATTACGAGTGGTGTTGATGACAAATAAATAATCATAATTATAAAAGAGCGTTGATAGGTACACCAAGTAGAAGCATTACATGAGCCATAATAATCTATTCCCAATCTTTTTCTTGTCAACAAACTTTATAGATTTCCTTTCTTGCCAAATTGACCGTAGTATATTCTTAATTCCTACCACCCATATTGTACGAGCTTCCAAATTGAAGCCATCATTTGTATTCATCATTTAATACTGTTGTGCCAGAACATCTTTAACTTTTCTTAACTTGAATGAAAAAAATTGTTTAAAATTCTTTGAATATTATGATCAATGCTTTTGCGCACATTATAGGTGAAGACATGCTATACCTGCATTGCTTGAATGGATACCCCGAGCAGGGAAAGAGGGTAAGCAACAAGTTTATATCCAATTGCCTCCAGTTCAAGAGGATTAACAATGGGTGTTTTTCCTCCTCCTTCAAGCATATTGGCCTACATAAAAGCAGAAGAGATATACCATTCAATTATGAATCACTGACTGTGATGTCATGAATAATAAAAGCGTCCTAATTGTATGAAAACTTTAACTCCATATACTAGAGAACAGCGTATAAAACATAATTCACATTTTTAGTCCAAAACACAATCTAATTTGAATTCTATTGGGAGCTCACCAGTTTCAAGGGATGCTAGTTCCTTCAAATTATTTAGATATTATTTGCCTTATTAATTATTTTTCCATGTATATTGTTTCCTTGATATATTTCCTGTTTCCAGCCTTCCTCATTTTATAATTTGTAATTTCTCATTGTTCATACATATATATATGTCCGTTTGTTTCCTCCCTTTTACTATAAGTAATGAGAACAAAGAAGAATAAAGGGATTTCCTTCCTTCATTTTCACTCCTCTATTTAGTTCTAAACTACAGTCTAATCAAATTTATAAAAAAAAAAAAAAAAAAAAAAGAAGACAATTATAATACAAGAGCCCTTACCAAGTCCCAAAAGATGCTACAAATACAAGTGTCTGAAGATGGATAAAATGAAAATAAATGGCATTGCCATTCACTTGATAACACAATTTACCTTTGTTTCAAAATTACAGATTGATTGGTAAAATGGTCCATAGTATATTAGTAATTCCAGTCTTTCGCTTATCCAATATTTCATCATAATATCGATGGAGAACACTAATCATGAACACAGTAAGATTGTTTAAAATTGTGAATAGCTCATTTAAAGACCGTGCATTAGAAACATTTAAAAAGAAAAACTTTAATGTTAAAAATTCATGCAATTATCATTTTCAATATGAGACTCTGAATGCGCATTTCTTGATTTGTATTTTATGGCAATGAAATCAAAGAATACCATTTTAGGCACTTTGGGAAAGATTTTACAAAAAGCCTCCATCTCCTCTTTTGAAGCTAGAGCATCAATGAAAAGAACATCAGCTCCAGCATCAGCAAAGGCCCTTGCTCTCCACAGTGATTCGTTAAGGGACACTGCTTGACGAGAATCAGTTCGAGCGACAATAACAATGTCAGAGCCACTTTCTTTTCTAGCATCAACAGCTGCTCTTATCCGCAACACAGCCTCCTCTCTAGATACCACTTTCCTACCTTGTGTATGGCCACAAGCTTTTGGAGATACCTTGCCATGATAATCTTGTAAGTAATAAAATGGCCCTAGATAACTGAGCAAACTCTATGATGAAAAATTTAATACTTCATACAATGCAGTGCTAGTTAAGGCATCAAAATGATCAAATAATACTTCTGGGTTTCAGGACAGGGTGCCAAAGGAAAATAAGTAGATAGTTTTTAAATTCCAAACTACCTTATTACGCTTTATTGCCAAGAAAATTTTGAGCTGAGGTGAAATTTAAGAAAATCACCACTTGATTATCATCCCTGGATGCCCCTGAATGAGAAGTTTCTATTTCCATACTTGAAACCGATGGAATAGTAAAGTGGAAACAAATAATTCTAGAAGTGTAACAATAATATCTCAAAATTATCTTCTAAATTTTGTTTATTCTCATGAGGATAATTTTGGGTATAATATAGTTGTTTTTCATTCGTACTCGCATAAAGTTTTCTAGAACATTTCTTCTTCTTTTTTTTCTTTTTCTTTTTCTTGCTCATGACAAAAACCAAGTTATATATAAATAAATAAAATATCATTACTTTTAACGTTCATGCAGAACATCTAAATTGCTATAAAAGAACCTGATCTTCAAGTATGATCCCTGCAAAGCCTGCTCGTATGTACCCTTTAACAGTTCTCTTCACATTCATTGCATTTCCGTATCCATTGTCACCATCTCCAATCACAGGAATTGACACTGATTGAGTGATTTGTTGCCCTTGATCCAACATTTCACCATATGATATGAAACCTGTATCTGGCAGTGCCAGTCTAGCAGCCGATATAGAAAATCCTGTAGAAAGACCAGTTCAATATAACACTAGCTTGCACGACTATTTTAAAACCTTGGGTAGAACGAGAACTAAAGCGAATTTCTTCCAACTCAAAATTAACTTTATGACCAGATTCTCATCACTTCAATAATTCGTTTACGCTTTCAGCAGTGAATGTTAATTGATTGAGATCAAAAGGTTGAAGAGCGAGGGAGAGAGACACCGACCACTGGTAAAGCAGTAGAGAAAGCCAGCTCTCTCAACTAGCTTAGCACTGAGAGCATCGAAACAAGCGGGGCCTTGGTGGACGCCAGGCATCTCCAGGATCCTCCGAAGCGCCTTGGCCGGAGAATCGACCACAAATTCGTCGTAGTTTCTTGCTGACATCGCGATGATTCGAGCAACCCGCCTCTGATGAGGATTGCTGGAGAGAGAGATGGTCCGTTTGATCGAAGGCGAGCATGAGGGAGAGCGATGAAGTTGAAGTGAATGCGGCGGCGGCGACGGCAACTGGAGGCGGAGAGATGCGCAGTGTGGGAGTGAGAGTGAGAGAGAACCATCGTTACTCGCCACAGGAAGCTTCATCGCAGGATTTTGGGTTGAAATGAGCTTAAAGAGACAATGGAAGAACTAAAAAGTAATAATGCCCAACTCTCTTTTAGTATTGCCACGTGGGGTCGGGATGAAACTCAACATACATGTCAATTATCGCTGATCTATATTCGTGTTGACACTACTTAATTATCCTATAAATAATAACTTCTCCTTTTGTATGATTTAATGTAACGCCCTAGATCTAGGATTCGAAATTCGGATTCGGCACCTCTTTGTTCCAACATTCCCCTGTATAAGCAAGTAGGAGGCCAATCGAATATTACCAAGTCAAGCACGCTTAATTTTTGAGTTAGTTAACACGTTGTAAATATAGGGAGTGACTATCGATTCTTTTAAGCTTTTCTTGACCATTCTTTCATGATTTCAGGATCTCTCTCATTCGGAGGTGGCATCGATTCATTACTGTACCTCTTCTCCCTACACAGGTGTCACATTTAATTCTTCTCACTTTACACTAAAACTTCAAGTGAGTAGAAATCAAATTAGGGAATTTAATTTTTTAGCGGAAAATACTTGTCTCCTCCTGGTCAGCAACCACCATTAAATGTCAGACAATTAAGATTGAAAAAAAAATGTAAAAATAGAGATTTATTTTTAAAAATTGTGATCATGACAATATTGGTCTCAATTGTTGAGTAGCCAAGTATTTTCATTCTCGGATGATGTTTACTTTGTTCATTCACCGCGTGCTTCAGCATCGTATTAAAAAAGATGTAGAGTCCACCAACATTAAAAAATAATGTATACAAATAAAATCATTTTATGAACCTAGAATATATACTCCAAATAACAGAGTTAGAGTGAAACACAACAATTTTAATGCCTAGGGTGATTGAAAATGCACACAAATTAAGGTTTAGAAAACTGAGTTTTTGCTCAAATATGTCTGCAATACAGTGAGCCTCTAGGAATTAAACCAGAGGGAACCTTGTGCATTTCAACTCCCAAGGAAGCAATGGAGAGGACTAATATCCTTTTGTGCAAAAAGATATCGTACAATTGTTTGGTACAAGGGGAATAATAATGTCACATGCATAAATGAGCCTAGTGATAATACATTTATAATTCCCGAGAAATAACTCATAGGAATTAGACTTGATATTCATGGTACCCGAGCAACTGAGTATTTTTTAGCTTTGTCATACCATACTCAAAAGACTTGTTTGAGACCTTATAGAGTATTCAACAATTTACAAATACTATTAGGAGGGGAAGAATCCCCCTATTTTTTTAGTTTACACAATAACCATTTCGTTGAAAGGACTATTAAGATGTATATTTGTTTATATCCAAACTAACTAGTACTCCAATTAAATAACAATGATTAAAATAATTTAAATTGTTGGAGACTTAACTACAAACCTAAAAGTTCTATTGAAATCAACATATGGAGTTTGTTAAAACTGGCCCCTTGCGATATACTAACTTTGTAACGTTAAATATCATAATGTCTTCTAATATTATGCACTCATTTGTTCCCAATAAATTATTAGTTGTGTCACGAACAAAGAAAGTCTCGTTAAGTTCAAAATACCATATTTAACTTGTAAGCCAAAGTCAACAATATGAGATATATTAATACTTGTCTATCAGCTCAATCATCAACAATATGAGATATATTAATACTTGTCCAAATTCTTTTAATTCATTGGCTATCTCATCCACTCAATTGTTTTGACTTTGACTATAGCCACTCCCTTGAGTTGAGTTGTCATTTATTAGGTTTGAAATTGTTACCTCCACACTCCGATTGATGCTTACAAAGTTTGCAACTAGTTTTGTTTAAGAGTACAATTAGTTACCTTTCAAATTAGTTTGATATTGCTCAGCAAATTTGTCATACGTAAGCAAGTAAATTTGTAGCATCCAAGTGATTTACAATTGTTTCAGCAACCATAATCAAATTATATTATTTATCAAAATGTTTGATAAATGGTAACACTAGGATACACAAAGATATTAGACTTGCAGTTTATGTCAAGTCATTGACACAATTTTTCATTAAAATTAAAAATACTAAAAAAACATTAAGCTTGTTCTAGACCTAACACGTGATGGAGTAAACAATTATAAGAACGCGAATGGATACCAAAGAACTCTTGGGCATAAATCCTTTAATGTATGGAACCCATGACTTGGTAAGTTATTACATGGAAGATACGAAGCTGTGTTGCCACAACAAACGACCTATATGGCACTAACCACACCTCATGTTCATAGTTAAAATCCAATTATTTTATCCATGGCAAATTAAAGTTTCGGTTCATATTTTTAGAATATAGCATTACCAATGGATTTGGAAAAATAGAAAGTATAAGATATTTGTTGTATTCAGGTCCATTTTCTTCCCTTCTCTAATAAGATACTTCATTAGTCAAAGTTGAAGGTTTGATATCTCTCGCCTTTACAAACAATCGTGCAAGCAGCGGCGGACGAAATGGAAGTGAGGATGTCGACTTGAGTAACGGCATACATGAATTAAAAAAAATAAAGCCAACATTATTCATAAAACTACCATATTTTCAAAATATCTTATTTTTTTATATATACAAACTACCCACATATTTACTTTACACAATGCCCCTTTCCCTTTATCTTTTGTGTACCACGTTAAAATAAAAACATGTGGTGTCAGTCTCATGTCCTTCCACTTTCGTACTTCACAATTGCAATATCCTTTGTTCAATATTTTTGCACTCAATATTTCTTTTTCAGGTTTAATAAAAACAGAATCGACAGACCCATTTGTTATTTTATACATTTATTAAACTGAGATTTCTGCACACGCTTTGACATCTTCCCTTTCCGCTGACATTCAAATCTCGATGGCCAATTCGTACTACAGGCTATACGTTGAGAACGATACCTATCTCTGCCCGGTTCAACTTTGATCTCTCTCATGGCAATTGCTGTAGCTTCTTCACTTACCTTCGGTAATCTCGATCATTCGCATATTTTTATATATTGAATTCATATCTTCGCATTTGGTATCATCGATTGCGACGATCTGTGAATTTATGACATGCCCATTTCATTTTCCTCGTTTTAAGATGAATTGATTGCCTGGACATTCTTTTTGAGAAAGGGCCATCGATCATCGTTTTCAAATTGTTTCTGAATACCCATTTGCTAATTAAGTGATGGGTTAATTTTGTTTGAAGTGGGTTTTCAGCTGTTTGGATCTAGATAGGTGAAAAACGGATGAAATTGTCTTATTTATTACTCTGGGAGTCTGGTTGTTACATAAAACTGCCGAAGTTTTAGGTCTTGTGTGCTTTAGAAGCTCTTGATGTTTACCAGCAGATTTCATTTTGTCAACTATCATAATGTGAATTTTCATTTTATCTAACAAGCTTGGATACGGACACGAGACACGGATGCAACACAGACATGGTGATGCGTCATTTTCTGAAAATCTAGGACACGGACACGTTTACTTGTCGTATACGGTGACACGTCATTTTCTAAAAATGCAGGACACGGACACGCCACAAACATGTTTACTAAAACATACCATTTTTTAAAGTGAAGGAAACTCAAAGTCAATAAGCTTATGCATTTTTATACTTAAAAGAAATATCAATGTATTTTACTCTCAAATTTTATTATTTTATCCTAAAGTACTATTTATGTCTATTTTTTATACTTAAATACATGCATAACAAGTGTCGAATCCATATTCACCTTGTATGACTAATGTGTAAAACATATATTGAGCTAACAAGTGTTCGATATGTGTCCGACACGGACACGTTACCCAAGTTGAAGTATCCTTGCTTCTTAGCATTTTATCAAGCATCTAAACTTGAAGTTGTAAATAAGTAAAACTGAGTAAATGATCATGAAATGGTAATGTAAACTAGTATCTCTGTTACTTTACTTGGTTACAACTTCAAGTTTTGTCATCGTGAGTCGCCATTTTTATTATTATTAATTTTTTTTGACTTGGTTTTTAATGATTGAGGTATTTTTATTCAAATCCTTCATTTCTTAGAGTTTGTCTTAAATTTTGTAACTTTTTTTTAATTATTTAATTATTATTTTTTTATTAATGTTGTGCAGAAGGGGCCTGTTGCTCGACATCATATGCATTCACAAGCAGTTGGAATAGATATTCTTGTGATGTTCGGTGAGTTAATTCTGATGAGTTATGATTTATTGTAGCTTGTTGTCAATCTGCTTGTATTCAGGCATGTACACATCCCTTTAATTTTTTGTGCTATTTGTTCTATACTTGCAAGAAAACATTTTGGTTGCATGGAAGATTAAAAGAGAGATAGAGAATGATCAATTTTTTTGATGCCATAGTTTATTTGGTTGCTTGTAGGTGTAAACGTTCCCCTATGTTTCATCACTTTAGTGTTTCTTCTATATATCCAATTAGAGAAGTCTTTTTTATGACTTTCTAGGATTTTTCCATCTTTTGTAATTTCATACCATCAATGAAATTGTTCCTTATTAAAAAAGAGAAAAGAAAGATAGAGAATAAGGTCATTAGGATACTCAAAAAGCTGTATAGACATTATTTATTTTTCTCTGTTTGCTTAACTATCTAGGGTCTTCAGATTACTTATTAGCCATTTTCAATAAATTGAGGATATTTTTTTTTGATAAAGAAACAAGAAAGAAAAAGAAGCCAAAAACAGCCTAAGGACAGGGGACGAGAAGACCCCTCCAAAAGAGAAACTAGAACAACAAGGCTCTCCAATCTTGTAAGATCATAGAGAGGCTGTAGTTACAAAACAATTTAGTATTTCTATGGCACCACCAAGAGGCTGTGATATGTACACTATTACGAAAAGAATCAAAAGACTTAGACGTGTCATCGAAAGAACGAAGATTCCTTTCCACCCAAATGTTCCAAAGCAACGATCTGAAAGCACACCTCCACAAAAAATAGACCTTTCCTTTAAGATGCCATCCATAAAAACATTCAAGCAGCCAATCTTCAATGCTTCTAGGCAAGCAACCCGAGAGCCCAAAAATATCAAACAAAACCATCCAAGCTTTCTTAGTAAAAGGACAGTGAAGAAACAAGTGGTCTAGTGATTCTGCTTCTCTTAAACACAAACAGCAACCAGAAGGGGAAATCGACCAACCTGGGCATTTCTTTTGGAGCCTCTCATAAGTGTTCAAAGCTCGGTAAGCTAACAACCATAAACAAACCTTCACTTTCTTCGGGATGGCATCTTTCCAAATAAAATTAATTAGAGGGGACTGAAGCGAATTGACATTAGTATCCACAAGATTCAAAAATGTTGATTTCGTAGAGAAAAGCCCATCCCCCTCAAGGTTCCACACAATCTTATCATCATCCTCTCCTAAAACAACAGTATCCAGCCTCTGCACCAGCCTCTGCACCAGCCTCATCCATTGCTCAACTTCTCTATCAAACAAACCCCTCCTTATGCCAATATCCCACGTCTGGTTTCCTCTGTCCCAACACTAAAAAACAGACGCATTCTGCTTTAAAGAAAGGGCGAACATATCCGAAAAATCATGCGCAAGAGGCAAGATGCCTGCCCATTTATCCAGCCAAAAGCTAAGTCTAGTTCCTCGACTCACTTTAAAGACCACCGTTTCTTTAAAAGAGTCCACATTTTTGGCAATATCAAACCAAGGTCTCCCCCTAGCCTTTCCTTTGGGAGCTTTCGACATCCCATAAATGCTAGTTATGACTCTCCTCCATAGAGCATTATCTTCCTGTGTAAACCGCCATAGCCACTTTGTTAACAGAGCTGTGTTCTTAAGGCGAAAACCACCGATTCCGAACCCTCCCAACTTCATAGGAAGCAAGGATATATTCCATTTCACCAGATTTCTACAACCATGAGTAGGCCTGCCCCCCCAGAAAAAAATCCCTCACTATCTTATCCATCTCCTTCGTGATGCTCACAGGGGCCTTCAACAGAGAGAAGTAGAAAATTGGTAAACTATTYAAAACAGATTGGGCAAGTGTCAGTCTGCCCCCTTCGATAAAAGTAACTTTTTCCATTTGGACAACTTGATTTTGAACTTTTCCACCATCGGTCTCCAAAACTCTATTGCTCTATGATTTCCACCAAGAGGCAGCCCCAAATAGTGAAACGACAGAGATTCAATTCGACACCTAATAGTGGTTGCTTTGAAGGCAACTTTATCCTCATCCAAATTAATACCAATCAGAGAGGATTTGGCCAAATTAATACGCAGACCCGATCTCCTAATGAACATCGATATAAAAGCCCACAATCTGTTAAAGTTACCTTTGTATGCCGGCAGAAAATTAAAGTATCATTTGCATATTGTAGATGAGACACCAGAACCCTATCTCGGCCCACCTCAAAGCCTCAAAAGATTCTCTTCTCGCAACAGACAGTTAACTATTCGGCTGAAAGAGTCTCCTATCAACGTGAAGAGAAAAGGGGAGAGGGGATCCTCTTGCCTCAAACCCCGCGTAGCATGAATTTTCCCCCGGGCCTACCGTTGATGAAGACAGAAAAGTTTGCCGAGGAGACACAACCTTTAACCCATGTCCTCCATCTCTTTCCAAAGCCTTTCTGCAAGAGCACAGCGTCGAGGTAATCCCAATCAACCATATCATAGGCTTTTTCATAGTCAATCTTAAATAAATAGCCACTCTTCTTGGTGCTGCCATAGTCCTCGACAGCCTCCGCAGCCACAAGCATGGCGTCTAGGATCTGTCTACCCTCAACAAAGGCGACTTGAGCATCATCAATAATGTATCTCAGAACTTTCTTAAGCCTCTCAGCCAAAACCTTGGCTATAATTTTGTAAAGCGAGGTACCTAGGCTAATAGGTCTGAAATCTTTGACTWTGTTTGCTTGTGAGCTCTTCGGGATCAAGCAAATGTAGGTTTCGTTTGTGCAAAGATTAACAATCCCATTCTTAAAAAACTCTTGGAATACCCTTACTATATCAGCCTTCAGAATGTTCCAAGACTTTTTATAGAACTCCATGGTGAAACCGTCTGGCCCCGAAGATTTCAAATTACCAAAGCTTTGGATAGCTTTCCAAATCTCCTCTTCCCCAAAAGGAACTTCCAAGCTAGSAGCCAAGGAAGGTTGCAAAGAATTCCACTCACAGCCTTAAAAAAAATCTATCACCTTCTGCCTTTGAATACAATTGATTAAAGTAGCCTAAAACCTCTGTTTCAATCTCCTTCTCTGATGTGAGGACCGAACCGTTAATGTCACAAAGATGTTGAATGGAGGCTTTGCTCCTCCTTGCCGAAGCCCATGTATGGAAGAAATGAGAGTTCTCATCACCATCTTTAAGCCAACTCCATTTACATTTCTGAGCCCACATTTGCTGTTCCTTAAAGGAAACCTCCATCAGGGATGCTTTCAAAGATGTTCTGTGAGCTAYTCTTTCTCCTGAGAGCTCCCCCTCCCTCTCCTCTTCTCTGTCTATCTCTTCTATCTTCTCAATGATCTCCCTTTTCACGTTCTCAACAACGTCAGACGAATCCCTATTCCAAGCCACAACCTTCTTTTTTTAACTCCTTAAGCTTTGTCATAAAAACATAGCCCGACCAACCAATGGGGGAGCAAGAGTTCCACCAAGAATCGACATTTTGTAAGAAAGAGGGATGATTCAACCACATATTCTCAAATCGGAAAGGAGAAGGGCCCCACTTATGATTTCCTAGATTAAGTTGAAGAGGAAAGTGGTCTGAGGTTGTTCTAGTCTGTTTATACAACGAAACGTCTTTAAAAAACTGAAACCAGCTTTGAGAGAGGAAGTATCTATCAATACGGGTGCAGACCGGGCTGCTMCTTAAATTGGACCATGTAAACAAACCATTTTTCAAAGGAATATCCTCAACATTCATTGCCTCAATAACTTCATTGAACTCCCTCATACTTCTAGTGACCTTACCACCTCTAGATTTCTCTAGCGTAGACCGAACCACATTAAAGTCTCCTCCAATACACCAATCATCGGAGCATAAAGCAGCCAAATCARGCAATTCTTGCCAAAAACCATCCCTGTTTCTACTCGACGAAGGGCYATACACTCCTGTCACCCAACCAATGAAGCTTTTCGCATAGCTGATACGTATAGTCACTGAAGACACACCCACAATGGAGTCTACAACCTCAACTATGTCCTCGTTCCACAAAATTAAAATCCCCCCTGAGGACCCTTCTGCAGCCAACGTGATCCAACCTATCCTCCGGGAGCTCCAAACTGTCTTCACAATCTTCCTATCAATAAACTCTAATTTTGTCTCATGCAAAATAACCAGATCAGAATCAGTCTTGTAAAGAAAATCTTTAATCAACGCTCTTTTGGAGGGAGCGCCCAAACCTCTCACATTCCAGGATATTATCTTCATAAGTCACCCTCAATACCCTGATCTAGGCTACAAATTGCTAGCTCTTCTTCCTCCATCTCCTTTTCCCATGCCTTTAACTTCCCCACTTCCCCACGATCTCACGGGCCTCCCTTTTTTTCGCCGTGCTACCTTTAAAGGTAGTTTTGTAAGATATTGGTTTGATACACATGTTATGCTTCCTCATGGCGACCACCATTTTTCGGGAAAAAGGGAAGCAATTCTCATCACCCTCCTCCGAAACTCCTACTACCTCTCTGTCCCCTACCTCCTCATTGACCTCCATCGGAGCTTATGGCCCCTGTTTCTCTAAGCTGTTCTTTTCAACTACGTCTTCTTCAAAACAAGCAAAGTAATCCGTCGGAGGATCCATACCAAAAAAGGGCCGCTGGTCACTTCTGTTTCCTATCCCATCTTCATCCCCATCCTCTTTGTTCGAATATTGACTCTCAATGCTAGAAAAAGACAACTCTGAGGACCCATCACCATCCTTTGATTTTTCTCTCTCTTTCCTTTTTGATGTCTCTGCCTCCCCCATCTTCGAAGTAGAGCATAAGTTACCTTTCTTGGGAAAGAACCGGGTATGATTGGTTTTGGAGAAGGAAACCAATTTCCTTTTTGCTTCTTTGTTTGGGGCCATTTGGATACTACACGGAACCTCTACAGAAAGTGGGTGTTGGGGTGGGACCCACTGGAACAATGTCTTTTCCGTGAGAAGGCTGTAAAAAAGAACAAAAGCCTCTGTGCTTACTGCAAAGTCAGCAGGGATGCCGGATGGGACAATGCTATAA